AGAGAGAGCAAGAACAGACACACAAAGAGAGAGAGAGAGAGAGAGAGAGAGAGGGGGGGGGGGGAAGGACAGGAGAGAGAATTAGAATGTCATTATAGAAATAAAGATGGCGGAGACCTATCGATCTTCATCCAATGATCAATACATCAGGGTGGTCATTGCTGCCAAAGGGGGAGAGAGAAGAGAGAGAGAAGAGAGAGGAAAGAGAGAGGAAAGAGAGAGGGAGAGAGAAAGAGGGAGACAGAGAGAGAACGTGGTATGGTCCGCACGACGATGAATGTGACATAATACCGGCGCAGCATGACCATAATCTGCAGGACAAACAGTGACAAATGTCACCGGTGACCACACAGCATGACGAACGCTAACGAAGGTTTTACACAAACGGTAACAAACAATTACAAACGGTGCCAAACGGTGCCAAACGGTGACAAACGCCAGCGACAAACGGGAACAAACGGTGACAAAAATGTTCACTGACACAGAGAACGTTATGGGGAAGAGAGGCACAGAGACACAGAGAGAGAGAGAGAGAGAGGGTGGGAAAGGCTGAGCCTCCCAATGCTGACAGAAGAGAGAGAGAGAGAGAGAGAGAGAGAGAGAGAGAGAGAGGATATCCAAGCCGAGTATAATAAGATTCGTAGAGGATCCAATTATAATGGGACATATGTGATCTGAGAGGTGGCAATGGCTTCTGAGGACTACTTCTACCCTTTAAATTTTTTTTAACCCCCGTTCTTCTCTTTCTTGTTAATTTGTTAAACACCTGCAGTACTACTGTCTTCCCCCTAACGTAACGCACCCTGATAATGAAGAATGTACACAAGCTATATTTCCGGTACGGTACAGCCATAATGAGGGTGGGTTGTGTTGGGGGGAAGACAGTACTCTGATCTTTTCAAGGGATTTTCACGTGCCACGTGTGTCGCCTGCTTGCTGCCTCACTCCGACGAGAAAATCCCATCAATTATTTAAGTATCAATGTATCATTATTATTAATTAATTAAAATCAAAAGAAGGCACCCATTCGGCTGCCCGCATGAGCGAACTGACAGGGATGATCTGTT